AGCGAGGCAGAGCATTGGCCAGACCCAATAAAACTCCTCTTTTTCTTAACCTTCCTCTTTTCCTACTCTTTTCCCCCCCCTTTAATGCTCACTGGAGTTCCAAAGTAGCGGAAGGCGAGACAATGAAAAAAGAACATAATAATTTCACGTATCTCGTATTTCTGGCAGCTGTGTGGCAAGAGTGTTCAGGTTTTTTTCACGCGTTCATTTTGGCTCAAAGAAGCTATGATTTATACTGATGCATTTACAATTTGTGCTGACAAACAAATTGGGCCCTGATTCAGTCCCGTGTGCCAAAGGCAAAGTTGGGAGGACGGGCAGCCTGCCCTCTTTGGCGGTGTGCAGTTCTTGGCATTAATAGCATTAGGCACTGTGTGTGTGGTTAGGTAGATTCCTATCTGGATTTGATTTACTTGAGCTGTAACTAGAAGGAGGGGGGAATGTTCTACGCTGCTCACGCTGTATTAATAAAATAAACTCCTTTTGCCGGATGAAGTTACAGTCCTTCACTCATCTGTGACAAGCAGGCGCTTTCTGTTTCTAATAAGGACTGATTCACATAACGGTCGGTCGGGGTGCTTAGCTGCTTCTGGAAGATGCCTTGAACATTCTGCATTCGTCATCGTCTGGTCCCCTCCCCTCTGACCAGCTGTCAGCTGCCCTAGGGTTGCCAGCTCCAGGTTGGGAAGTTCCTGGAGCTTTGGGGATGGACCCTGAGGAAGGCGTGGTTTGAGGAGGGGAGGAACCTCAACATGTTATAGTTATAGCCGTAGAATCCACTCTTCAGAGCAGCCGTTTTCTCCAGGGGAACTGATGTCTGTTGTCTGAAGCCAAGCTGCAATTCCCTTGGATTTCCAGGTGCCATCTGCAACCCTAAGCCACCTACATGTGCCCTTTTTACCTGTTTATGTGCCCACTATAAGTGGTTAAAAATAGTTTTGAAGTGTATGTGTAATGTACTCCGCCATTACCACGTGCGCGACCGTTGGGCCATGCGGTCAAGCACCAGCCTAAAGCTTCGTACATTTAGAACAATAGCCAAGCGGATCCTAGCCCGCACCAATCAGAGGGCCAGGTCCGCAGCCGAGAGCCTATGGGACTCTCGGCTTCTGTAAATAACCTATAGGGTGAATAGGGGTGTGTTTTGGTGGTGGGTTTCTGGGCATATATACCGGCCTGCGCGCCGGCTTTCTTTGTCTTGTTCCTGATTGAATAAAGTACTCTTGCTGAAATCACTCCACGTTTCCGAGTACTTTTCAGTATGAATAAGGTGCACAACCCGCTGGCCACAAAGGCGACCATGTACAGGACTGGCTGAGCTATAGAAGCAGATTAGGCCCTTGTCTGAGGTACCAAAAGTCTAGGATATGCCTCTTTCCACTCTATAGATGGCTTGAAAAGAGAGCTGAGGGAATACACAGAAGCACCTTGTCATCTGGGAGATATCCTCTGCATTCCGGAACATATTAGAGATTTTTGTTTTTAAAATCTCTCTTAGTAGCCCAGCACATAGAAGTTGGAGTGAGCGACTCAGCATGCCTGGGCCTCCTGGGGTGCTACATCACTCTAAGGGTGTATAGGTGTTATCCAGGGCTCTTTTTGTAGAAAAAGCCCAGCAGGAACTCATTGCCATAATAGGCCACACCCAACAGCAGGAACTCATTAGCATATTAGGCCACACCCCTGACAGCACAGCTCATTAGCACATTAGGCCACACCCCCGTGTTACCAGAAGTGTGGTCATCCAGCCACACCTACCTTTTGCTTTTTATTCTGTTTACCTTGTTTGTTGTCAAAACCCAGGGCCTTTTTTTGTTGCAGGAACTCCTTTGCATGTTAGGCCACACACCCCTAATGTAGCCAATCCTAATGAGTTCCTGCTGTTGGGTGTGGCCTATTATGCTAATGAGTTCCTGCTGGGTGTGACCAACTTGGGAGCCAGCCGGAACTCCGTTCCTGTGCGTTCCTGCCCAAAAATAGCTCTGGTTATCTCCCTAAATAGGATGCCTCTCCTTATCTTAACCTGGGAGGAGGGTCCACCCTCGAAAGCAGCCATTTCTGAAGTCTGGAGATCAGTTGTAATTCTGGGAGCTCACCAGGCCCTACCTGGAGGTTGGTAACCCTAACTGCTTTACAAATAATTGGGTCTGTGCCAGACATACCAATTCATCCCCCTTGAACAATCTTAAAACCTATAAAACATTTCCAAATGTTAATCAGTTATTCAGCCTTAAAAGTAACATTCACGTACCAGTTAAAAGTAAATCAACATTTAGCCATATTCTATAACTTATCAAAGAAGGGCCCTCGTACTTCCTTTCTAGAGATTCTATACAAAGAACAGCATCAGGCCTAATGTGTTACATCTTCAGCGATCCCTCTGGCCACGTCAGTGTGGAATCAATATAGAGTTTTAAACCAGCTGTTATTTATTTTGGCTGCCTGTAGAGACAGGAATATAGGTCTCCAGAAATTTCCCAACAGGAAGTCATAAAGTGCCAAAAGAGATAAAGATTTCCTTACAAATCTGTAGTATACAGTATGTTTGGATGAGTCATATTCAGTTTCTGACTCAGAAGAAAGCAAAAACATTCTCTCTGTCTTTGCTTGATGTGGGGACATGTTACCTTCATGTATCATCTGGGAGGAAATTGCAACCAGTGTGCACTTTTGAGGGGCTGTTTATGTGCCTGAAGTACAGCCACTTTCTGTCCCAGTGTCACTGTTTTGTTGTTTTTTCCTAAGCACATGTAGTATAAAACAAACAGAAAATCCAGTTGCAGTTTGACTTGGCTAGGGCTTTTCCGCATTCTCATTTTTCCTATTTCTAAGTTCCTCTTTCTTTGGGTGTGGGAGCTGTTCCAAACACATTTTTCTCCCTCTAGTGGTCGATTCGATATTACACCAGTTTGTGTCCAGCATAAAAATTTGCAGTTCAAATCTGCAGGGAGATATGCTGGAAATAAACTGGTGTAATATCGAATCAACCACTAGGGGGAGCAGAACCCAAGTGGAACAGACCACCTCTTCCTGAAGAAACAGGAAGTTACAAGCAAGAAAAATGAGAATGCGGAAAAGCCTTTAGCCAGTACATTCCAAATACTGTATGTGTAAGTTTTTTTGTACTTCTGTCAGTATCTGTACTTTTATACTGTGTGACTGTATCCTTAGTTCTTCCATGAAATGAAAAAGAGTATGTGTGTGAGAGAGAAATTTGCCAGGATTATTTTTGCAGTTTTTTATTTCTTTATTTCATTTATAGTCTGCTTTTCTCAAAGAGAATCAAGGCAGATTAAAAATAAACTTTGTCATTTAAATGCACAGGAAGGTTGTTTGGTAATTGTGCCATGTGGCTTTATCTCCCTAGAAACCTATCTTGCTTGAATCCTGCCTTTCTTTCTAGGAAGCTGGGGCTGTGGGTGTAGTCCTCTGCTCCTTGTTTTATCCTGGCAATAACCCGGTGAGATATGTTGGACTGAGAGAGGGAATGACCCTAGGAGGGACCATGGCTTAGTGGTAGAGTATCTTCTTGGTCTACAGAAGGTCCAAGGTTCAATAACTGTAACTGTACATCGCTCAGAGCTAGCAGCTCTGCAAGGATTGAGCGATTAATAAATTGAAAGATTATTTATTTATTATTTAATCCCTGACGTTCCTAATTAAAAGGTTCAGGTAGTAGGTGCAATGCTCCCTCTAAGCTGTGGAGTCTTGTGAGCAAAAATTCTACTTTGTGAGCTACTGGCATTAAAGTTGTGAGCCAGTGATTTGGCCATTGCAGAAATTAGTGTGCTCTGGGGCCATCCTTCCTGAGCTAAGACAAAAATGTGTGAGCCGGAGGCTAAAAAACCTGTGAGTGAGCTCACACTAACTCAGCTTAGAGGGAACACTGAGTAGGTGATGGGAAAGTCCTCTGCCTGAGACCCTGAGTAGACAGTACTGACCTTGATGAACCAATGGACTGATTCAGTATAAGGCAGCTTCGTGTTCCAAAATCACCTAGTAAGTCTGAGTGGGGACTGGAATCTCTTCACTCCGTTTACCCCATAGCACTTGTTCTCCCTGTACCGGTTTGCTGTAGTGGTTAAGAATGCAGACTCTAATCTGGGATTAACTGTGGTTTGATTCCCCACTCCTCCGCATGCAGCTGCTGGTGTGACCTTGGGTCAGTCAGAAATTCAGAGCTGTTCTCTCAGGAGCAGTTCTCGAAAGAGCTCTCTTAGCCCCACCTACCTCACAGGGTGTCTGTTGTGGGGAGGGGAAGGGAAAGGGGTTGTAAGCCGCTCTGAGACTCCTTCGGGTAGTGAAGGGCGGGGTATAAATCCAACCTCCTCCTCCTCCCCTCTTGCATTATACCAGCGTTTGCATCCATAATAAGGGCCTGTTATCATAATATAGACCTTTTGGCGTATTAAACCCCAGGAATGCTGTCTGTACTAAGTAACAAAAGAGGTATAAGCTTCTACCTGTTCTTTTCTCTTCTGTTCCCCCCACCACCACCCAATGTTACAATAGCAAAGCAGAAAATATGTTTTCCCTCGGTACATTGCAAGATATATATTTTTTTAAAGTCAGACATGTGTTTTAGAAGTACAGTGAAATAGATCTTGCATGACTACTGCTGAATTTCCAACAAAAGATAAAACTTCAGTTGCTTTGAGGGGGGCAGTTAGGCTTGGATTATTCATCATCACGTCTGACAAGTGAGCGTGTGGATGAGTCGTCCCAGATCGAGTATTAGAGAGAGAACTCTCATGCCGTCTCATAGCCTAATGTTCGTCCTGTAGAATCAGCTCGTGGGTCGTCAAGCACTTAGTACTCAAGTAACGGGAAAACAGGGAATGGCCCGTGCGTGACTCATGAAGCCGCCCTTAGTCGTTTTCTTTGGGGTTCACAGAAGATCATCGCTCGTTGAGCTGTTCAGATATGGCAGCATTTCAAGATCTCCCCCCCCGCCGCCCCTTCTTACTAGTTCCCTGACTGAATTGTTTTGTCTTCTTCAGGCAACAGAAATTTTGCTGTGAATGATCCATTGGAATTCAAGTCAAACCAATGGTTTGGAGCATCTGTGAGATCTAAAGATGATAAAATTCTGGTAAGGCTTCATGTTTAAGGCTTTTCACGTGTTGCCGTGTTCAAACTCTTTGGGGGTTCTGACTGTAAAAGCATGACGCATGCAGAGTGGGGGGGGGAACCCTCTTGCGGATAGCATGGCTTCTTTCCCTGCCCCTCCTTCAAATATACCTACATCGTTTTTGCCATGCCACCATGAACTGCTAACTGTCCTCATGACATTGCAGAACCGTTTGGGATGTTCTCTGGAATTCTTTAACCACAGCAGAATGTCATGAGAAAGTCAAGTGGTGCAGAAGGGTGAAGACTGTGGAGAGCTTTATATGAGATTCTAGAGGATAATAGAGTAGGAATCAGCACTTGGAGGCCACAATCCCAAATCCAACTCCTTGAGAGAGTACCGTTTGCTGCTGTCCCTCAGTCTGCCAGTTCTTAGATTAGAGAAGTATGTGGAGGGAATTGTGGCTGACAAAACTACGTTGGGGCCCTGCCCCACTAACCTGTCTTTTTAGGGCTGTGAGGCCCAGCTGGGCAGCCAGTAAAAGACCATGGAGCAACTCTATGACATGGTAACCATAGAGTTTTTTCTCAAATGATAGAGCGTCCCCCCCCCAACGTACCCTGCACGATGATGTCACCTCCTGGTGATGTCATTGTGCTGGGCGCGTTGGCTTGGACAGGAGTCTTTGGGGGCAAGGATCCCCCTGCCGGCCGGCTCGGAAGCGGTGGAACAGCCTCCGAAAGCAAGTAAACCCCCGCCCCTGTCTGGGGAATGGCAGCCCTAAGTACACCCCACTGAAGTCCCTCCCCTCCCCAAACCCTGCCCTCCTCAGCGCCCCCCCCTCCAAATCTCGAGGTATTTCCCAGCTTGAAGCTGGCAACCCTACATCAAGTCCAGCATCCTGTTTCTCGCAGCGGCCAATCAGATCCCTGTAGGAGGAATAGTTAGTAACGGGGCTACTCCTCCGTGAAAGACAGATGGCTTGGAGCTTCTGGCACTGACGTGCAGTAGATGACCAGTGCACTGCAGAGCAAAATAGACGCTGATGCTGCCTCCTGATAGGGTGGCGCCAGCAAATTAATGGCTACAGCTCTTGCCTGAAGAGTCAGCAGACGTTGTTTAATGGGGACCTCCCACCCTGTTGCAAAGCAGATAATTCACAGGTGCTTTCAAGTTTTCTCAGACTGCAGACAAGGCAGAACTTCCCTTTTGATTCACCCGCATTGCTGCCCAATACGTGGGTAAGGTGGAGGCCGCGTTTCTCAGATTGCAAACAAGGCAGAGCTTTCCCTTTGATTCCCTGCATCGCTGCCCAAGACATGCGTAAGACGGAAGTATTCTTGCTCAGTGCTGCCAGGTCTTCCCTGTGGAGTTTTCTGTGGCTTTACAATGCTCGCTCTCCCCTCTTCAGACATTCAGTGGCTATTTCTAAACAGCTGTCGCCTTTTGCTTCATTTGCAGGCATGCGCACCGCTGTATCACTGGAGAACTGAACAGAAACCAGAGCGGGAACCTGTGGGAACTTGTTATCTTCATGATGGGTCTAAAGCTGTTGAATATGCTCCCTGCAGGTCAAGTATGTGGAGAATGTCTTGCTGTTGTAATTACTGCCCTGAGCCTCTTCTTCTCTGCGCCGTCACATTTAATGCACAGCAAGGAGGGATAGATCATGCACTCTCTGTCTGGCTGCTTTCATTGTTGGATCAATGCACTCTCAATGCACTATAGCAATCATATGCAACTGAATTGCAACTGTGTGAAACAGGAAAACCCGGTTGCAAACAGTTGGTATGGTGCATTGAGGGTGTTTTAGCCAATGTGTGTGAAAGCAGCCACTCTGTAGAGGACATACAGTAGAGCAGGCTGTTCCATGCATAGGGATGAGCATCAGAAATACTTGTTTTTGGTTTATCTTGATTTTCAACATTTTTAATTTGTTGTTGTTGTTATTATTATTACAAGTGCATTGGAGGTGGGGAGGCTGAAGCCCTTCCTTCTCACAGCCGGAATTCTTCTTCCTCTTCTTCTTCCTCTTCTTCTTCCTCTTCCTCTTCCTCTTCTTCCTCTTTTTCCTCTTCTTCCTCTTCCCCTTCCTCCTCCTCCTCCAAATGTATAAACCGCCCTCCCCCAGAGGGCTCAGAGCAGTGTACAACATGAATTAAACATCATCATCAACAACAAATAACAAATGCACCTAGTAATTAAGTTCCCAGCTTGGACCTTCCAAGTAGGTCTACACAAAGTCCACCTGAGCTTTGTAATGTGTGGATAGATCCTTGTACTGTCACACCATAGAGATCTGCTGATTGCTGGAACGGAAGGTTCATCTTGTTTCCTATGCCTAAGCTGCCATATCCCTCACAGCCTCTGGTTTTAATTGTTTTAATGATGTGGGGGGGGGCTGAGGAGGGCAGGGTTTGGGGGAGGGACTTCAGTGGCGTATAATGTCATAGAGTCCACCTTCCAAAGTGGCCATTTTCTCCAGGTGAATTAATCTGTGTATTTTAGCTCTGGTTTTAATTGTTTTAATGATGGGGGGGTTGATGGTTTTAGTGTTTTTTAAGAGGTGATTTTATTGTCTGTGTTTTTAGTTTGTTGGCTGCCTTGGTGGCACTTGTAAGGGCAGCAAGGCAGGGTATAACCTTTGTAAATAAATAAACTTTCTAGGTAACGCAGGGCCTCTGTTCCCCTTAAAAAAGAATAAGACATTGGGCATCCTGCAGATTTCATTGGAACGATCTGGTTAAGATAGATTGTCAACTAGAACAGACAAAGGTTTGCCCAGCTGTAACGGGCAACCACCCCGACCTGCATGGCTCAGGCCAGCCCAATCTCATCAGATTGCAGAAGCAAGGTCGGCCCTGGTTAGTGCTTGGGTGGGAGACCCCCAAGGAACTCCAGGGCCACTAAGGAGAGGCAGGAAGTGGAGAACCACCTCTGTTAAACTCTTGCCTTGAAAGCCCAACAGGGTGGCTGTAAGTTGTTTGCATCTTGACGGCACTTTCCACCCCAGGATACACAAATTTTACCCACCCCATTATGGGAGACAAACAAATGCCAAAGATCTGTCTTGAAGTGGTTGGCTTTAGCCTCTCCCCCCCCCCCCCCCCCCGGCGAGTATTTAAATAGCAAAACCAATTGGGGAGAGATTGTGAATCACCCCTTGAGTCAAAAGAGTATCAAAAACTGCACTAAGGAAAAGGAGCAATTCGTTGTATGCAGAGATAGCGATAAGGGTCCATTAGCATTTCTGTCGTAAAGCCCTGGATCCAGAGGATTACCCATATCGTGAAAAGTCTCCTTGGTCTCACTTGCGGCATGTGAGACATCAGCTCTGGAATGCTTTCTTTTCCTGTTACGAGACGAGCCCTATCTCAAAGCTTTCTGTGGCTTCTGGATCTGTAAATAGAGGCAAAATGGAAAGGAACACTTTAGATTTTCTACTAAGCCTCACTACTGGTGGAACTGGCACCGGTTCTTACAGGACTGCATGACGTAATTCACAAATGCAAATAAAGCCCGCCAGCTATGTAGGGCAGCTCACGAGTATGGCTGCCAAGCCGCCATTGGGGGCAGGGAATCCCCCACCTCCAGGTCTCATTGCATGGGAGAAGAACTAAAGGGTAGCTCTAGGAATTGCTGGAAATGTTAAGGTTTTCTGATTTTAACATAGGATTTCCAGTGATTCCTAGAGCTACCCTTTGCGATTCTGGGTAGAATCATAGAGTTGGACCCTTCCAACTCTGTGATTCTACCCAGACCTCCAGGGTCATCTAGTCCAACCCCCTGCACAAGGCAGGAAATTCACAAATACCTCCCCTTCCACACCCCCAGTGACCGCTGTTCCATGCCCAGGAGATGACAGAAAGCCTCCAGGATTCCTGGTCAAACTGGCCTGGAGAAAATTTGCTGCCTGACCCCAAAGTGGCAATCAGCATTTCCCTGGGCATATAAGAAAGGGTCACAAGAACTAAGCACTGAGGCAACCCTTCCTGCCCCTCCCTCTCATGATCTGCCTGAGTTCACAGAATCAAATTCTAGGAATTGCCGTGAACGCTATGGTAAAAACGTCCTGTAAGCAGATGAGGCCTTCAATTGTTGGCACGGTGGACAATATGACGTCACTTACAGGGGAAACCTAGAAATGACATCACATTGCTCTAGGAATTGCTGGAGACTCTGTTTTCTGGTGAATCCTAGAGTTTCTGGCGATTCCTAGAGCAGCATGATGCCACTTTTTCCTGGAAGTACATCATATTGCAAGTAGATAAATAGGTACCCTTTCGGTGGGAAGGTAACAGCGTTCCGTGCGCCTTGGTGTTCAGTCATGCCAGCCACATGACCACGGAAACGTCTTCGGACAGCGCTGGCTCTTCGGCTTTGAAACGGAGACGAGCACCGCAACCCTAGAGTCGGATTCGACTGGCTTTCGAGCAAGGGAAACTTTTACCTTTACCTTACATCATATTGCATGTGGTGCTAATGTCCCCCATCCCTACTGCCCACCATCTCCTGGTTGCTAGCCAACCAGCAACCCTAGCTGACAGACTCTGGCTCCAACTTATTTGTGTTTACTAGAATCCCTGTCAAAATTTGATATGCAGACTGCATCTCTGGCTACCTGGAGAAAGTGCAGGCTCTTTATAGGCGTTCCAAACAATGCTCATGGCCACCACAATCCTGGTAACTCCCCTCCTATACACTTTTATCGTCCCTTTTAGGGCATTTAAGAAGGGCATATATATTTATGCACCCTTCTTAAATGTCCTAAGAGGGATCATAAATGTGCACGTGCACATGTGCGTACACACACTCATATGTGTGTGTATAAACAAACTAATAGGGTGCCTTTATGAAGCTCTTAGATTTATCTGCTAATTAGTTGCTTTTAAAGTTTTTTCTTTCTTTCAATTTTTATTTGTGCTGCTTGGGGGGGGTACGGTTTTTGTTTGTTTTTAAGTGAAGGTTGTATGCCTCCTTAACAATATTTTATTGAAAGACAGCAGGATCTAAATGCTTTAAAGTGTCATCCACTGTTTTCAAAATTCCAGTATCGCCCGCAGGCTGAACATAGTTGGAAACCTTTGCGCTACCATGTGAAATGTGATGTTCACTTTTTTTAAAGGGTTGGATCTTGGTTTCCCAACTCAGGTTCACCACAGCAGCTGTGGGGAGTGGATACTAAAAAATAAAGCACAGCCCATTTGAGCTCAGACCACCGCCATGAGGAGAGGGAGGGCTTCTGCCTCCCCCCCCCCAGGGATTTTCACTGCAACGGGAAGGAGTTGTTCCCCCATTCTTGCTGCTCAACGTGCAGAATGGTAAACCCCACCTAAGTTATCTACAGCCGGAGAAGGGTGTGTTCCATTCAGAAGGAAGCTCTCTAGTCGTTTTGTTTGGGAAGTTCTCTAGAAAACATTGGTTGTGAAATCACAGCAGTTCTTGAAAAAGAGGGAACTGAAAGAGGAGGATATCCGCAGCTGCTTGTCAGTTCGCTGGATTCTTTATGAATGGATTTTGTTTGTCATACGGCTGGGACACGTTGACGTATTATATCTCAGAATTTACTGTTAGTGAGAATTTATTCTCAAGACGTTTGTGTACTATTCGATAGAGAGTAACTACAGAATACTGGATTGTAAAGATACCCCATAAATACTGCGTTATAATTTATTATTGTGCAGATTTCAGTTAGAAAATAAGTTACATAGCTGTAGGATCCTCAAATATGTGGTGAAAACCTGGAAATTAGAATTGTTAATGTAATGTATGCATTGGATGCATGTATACTTTTGGTGATGTCCATGTACAGAGTCGCCTCTTAGGTTGCTGGAAGAGGGTGTTTGCTATGACCAGCGTGTTCTCTTGACAAAACTCTGTTAGGCTTTGCACTGCTTCATTTTGTTCTCCAAGGCCAAACTTGTTAGTTATTCCGGTTACCTTTTGACTTCCTATTTTAGCATTCCAGTCCCCTATGATGAGGAGGACACCATTTTTTGATGTTAGTTCTAGGAGGTGTTGTAGGCTGTGCAACTGAACAACAACAAATGCTTTTGGTAGAACATAAAAGACGCCTGCTCCTTGGGAGGAAAGCGATGGCGAACCTAAACAACATGATAAAAAGTAGAGACATCACCCTGCCAACAAAAGTCCGCATGGTCAAAGCAATGGTATTCCCAGTAGTCATGTATGGCTGCGAGAGTTGGACTATAAGGAAGGCCGAGCGCCGAAGAATAGATTCTTTTGAACTATGGTGCTGGAGAAGCCTCTTGAGAGTCCCTTGGACTGCAAGAAGATCAAATCAGTCAGTCCTAAAGGGAATCAACCCTGACTGTTCCCTGGAAGGCCAGATAATGAAACTGAAGCTCAAATACTTTGGCCACCCAATGAGAAGGGAGCACTCCCTGGAGAAGACCCTGATGCTGGGAAAGACTGAAGGCCAAAGAAGACGGGGACGGCAAAGGATGAGATGGTTAGACAGTGTCATCGATGCAACGAACATGAAGTTGAGCCAACTTCAGAGGACGGCGGAAGACAGGAGGGCCTGGCGTGATCTGGTCCATGGGGTCGCAAAGAGTCGGACTCGACTGTGCAACTGAACAACAACAACAACAAAGAACACATTAAAGTTTTATTCATTGCGGTGTTTTTCTTTTGCTTCTTTTCCCAGTGTCACCGTTTCAAGCACAGATAGGATCTGCTTAATTTTTTTAATAGCCATTGCCCACAGCTGCTGTGTGCCTGCAGGGAACCTGAGCCCAGTCCGGGCAACCTGGACCCAACTCTTAAAAAACCCCAAATGTCTAGTTTGGCCCATAGTTCCTGCAAGGGAAGAGTTCCCTCTGCACCTATTTAACTTGGATTAAGTGTGTTATTTTTTCCCTCTGCACCTATTTAAATTAGGTTAAGTGTGAGGGGCAGTGGAATGCCTGAGGTCACTGCTGGGTGCAGTCGCTGAGGAATCTGGTGGTGGCTCTTTCTTGAAGGCCCGGTTCTGACATGACGCGGTTTCAGGTCCTGGGGGGGTGGGGAGAGGACCAGCCTTGCTCTCTGACTCCTGCTTGTCTCAATAGTAGTCTCTTCAGGGACCGAGAATTTTGCGGTTTTGGGGTAATGTTGCTAAACTGGCAACATTAGTTAGGCCCAAAGGCTTCTGTGATAGTTTCCTGGACGTTGACCCCCAGGGAACTGGGCACAGCCAAGAAAATTCCGTAAGGGCACCTAGGGTTGCCAGTTCCGGGTTGGGAAATACCTGGAGATTTTGGGGAGGGGAAGGGTTTGGGGAGAGGAGGGGAGGGGAGGGACCTCAGCAGGATATAATGCTATAGAATCCATCTTCCAAAGCAGCCATTTTCTCCAGGGAAGCTGATCTTGGTTGTCTAAAGATCAATTGTAATAGTGGGGGATCTCCAGGTGCCCGCGGGAGGTTGATAACCCTAGGGGTATTCTTTCTAGCCTATGCCGGAATGTATTTTACGTGCCCCTCTAGTCAATTATTTTTCTCTTGTTCTGCAGCAAACATTGATGCCGAAGGACAAGGCTTCTGTCAAGGGGGATTCAGCATCGACTTCACCCAGGTACAGAAGCCCGTTAGAGCGTGTCTCTCTTCCATTCATGTCACTTGACGATAAAGGAGAGAGCTGGCAAAGATGGATTCGATGAATGCCGGTTTGTCACAGCGCCTTTGCCGGGGACTTCTTATCACTTCATTTCTGTCCTCGGATATTTACGCTTCTGGACATGACTGCTAGACTGAATGTTTTATTCAGTTCAGAACTTAAAAAGAGTTTGTAAGGAAATGTAGGAAGAAAAGAAATTAATGGAAAGGAGATAGCTTGCCCCCCTCTGTTTTGCTAATCTCGTTACAGAAGATAAGAAAATCTGTTTTAGAATTTCCTTTATCCTTTTGTCTCGTAACAAACCTGCTTAAGTTAAACTTGTAATTTAAAAATGCAGCTGGGAAATGTATGGGTCATAGTAATTCAGCTGTGGAACAAGACGGGTAGTGCCAGCTGAGAATGGAACCTCCATGTTTGGAGGCAGCGTGCCTCTTGATCACGTGGGGGGATTTTTAGCGCAATCCTGATAACACTTCCCTGGCAGTACAGAGTTGCCAGACTTCCTACTTAACAGCATCTAGGAATTGCCAGAAACTCATTCCTCAGAGGATAAGTGATAACAACATCTGAAAGATCTGTACTGGCTGCCCATCTGTTCCAGGCACAATTCAAAGTGCTGGTTCTTACCTTTAAGGTCCCAAATGTCTTAGGGCCAGGGTAATTGAGAGACCTCCTCGTCCCAACCTGTCCTGCCCCCAAATAAGATCCTTCTCACAAGCCCTGCTCTGTGTATCCCAGCCTTCAGAGGCAAGGCAGGTAGCAACCAGCAACAGGGCCTTTTCAGATACGCAGTATTTATTGCTTTACAGCTGTTGACCTTATAACCTTAGCTTGCTATTTAGCTCCGACTTTGCATCTCTTAAACATCAACATGTTACACGCAGTGTTCCTCACAGTTTTTTAGCCTCCGGCTCACACATTTTTGTCTCAGCTCAGGAAGGAGGGCTCCAGAACAAACGAATTTATGCAGTAGCCAAATTGCTCGCTCGCACCTTTAATGCCAGTAGCTCACACAGTAGAATTTTTGCTCACAAGACTCCACAGCTTAGAGGGAGCACTGGTTACATGTTAATTTGTTGTTAAGTCCCTGTCTATAAGTTTGGACCTTACCTACCATTCCAATGTATTTGAAACAGTGTGCCTTGTACACGAAAGTTCATACCTTGAATAAACCTTTCTCGGTCTTCATGGTGCCACTGGACTATCAATTTGTTCTACAATGAAATCTGGTTTCGCTAACCTCGATAAAATTGGCTAGTTGTTTGCACTGGAGAAATTCTCTGATGGAATTCTGTCAGACTGCAGCGTTAGCCGGGCAGGTTACTGTGCCCTAACAAAGCTACTACAGCAAAGGTGCTTACCTGGTTTTCTTTCTCACGTCAGGGAGACAGAGTTCTTCTTGGAGGACCCGGAAGCTTTTACTGGCAAGGTGAGACAAGGCCCTTCACTGCCAAAATGATGGTCTTTTAAAACCACCTATGTACCCGCGGCCCTGACCTGGATGGCCCCGACTATCCCGGATCTGATCAAATGTTGGAAGCTAAGCAGGGTCGGCCCCGGTTAGTACCTGGATGGGAGACCACCAAGGAAGCCCAGGGTCTCTGTGCAGAGGACGGCAATGGCAAAACCGCCTCTGAACGCCTCTTGCCTTGAAAACCCTACAAGGTCGCCATAAGCCGGCTGTGACTTGGCTTTCCACCACCATGTATACATGATACAGAAATGTATAGAATCAGATCCCAATGCCCCCTTATCCTGAAGAACTGGCAAAGGGTGCAACTTTTATCTATTCTGCCTGTCTTCCGACCCTGGTCACCCTCCCAGTCACTTTTCCCCTCAAGGCTCCCTGACCTTTGCAAATGTTTGGAACCTTTCAGGGGGAGAGGCAGCTGTAGAGAATTTGGAATGGAGAAGCACTGGGCAGGAAAAAGATGGAACACCCTACCCATCCATGAGGGTTGCCAACCTCCAGGTGGGGCCTGGAGACCTTCCAGAATTTCAGCTGAATTCTAGATGACAGCCATCAGTTCCCCTGGGCAAAAGGGCTGCTTCGGAGGGTGGACTCTCTGGCATTACATCCTGTTAAGGTCCTTCCTCTCCCCAAACCATGTCTTCCCCAGGGTCCAGGCCCCAATTCTCCAGAAATTTCCCAACCTGGAATTGGCAACTCTACCTTGCACCCATTCAGAATTCCATTCCATCCCTCTCTCTGTTCAGAAAGATCTTACATTGCTAAATACGTTAATCTTGAAAATGCTACAAGGCTATCTTATTTCCACTGCAGCGGATTAATGTGGCTGTTCTTCAAATCTAGAACTTTACCTTTGAGTGACTCTCCAGTTTTCCTATGCATGACTTGGGGTCTTTTTGGAAGCTTTGCTTTCAAGATAGCGCAAATATTCTATCTCATTTTAAAATTCAGGATAATAAGAAGCCAAATTCGATCATTTGTTTTTATTCTCACATAGTTTTCTCTTACTTTTTGGTGAACGTAGATCCAGGTGGGTAGCCGTGTTGGTGTTCAACCTCTGCCTTATATGTGTGGACTGGTTATTTCCGTTTCGTTGTATCTGAGGAAGTGAGCATGCACACGAAAGCTCACACCTTGAATAAAACTTTGCTGGTCTTAAAGGTGCCACACTGGACTCGAACTTTGTTGTTTTTGGTGAACGAAGGGACTAAAAACATTCCTTCGGAATCATATCTGTGTTATTCCCGCACCCTATTTTCATCCTCCCTTCCTCTCGCTCTTCTCCAGGCCAGCTCATCTCCGATCAAGTGGCTGAGATTGTGTCAAAATACAACGCCAAGGTCTACACCACCAAGTACGATAACCAGTTAGCAACCCGGGCGGCAAGTGCTACTTTCGACGACAGCTATTTAGGTGGGTTGCTCTACAGCACTGGTTCCCAGAGTGGGCAATACCACCCCCTAAGGGGCGCTGGAATGATCCAGGTGGGCGGTAGGAGCCTTGGGTGCAATTGGGGGGTGTTGAATAAAAATAAGGGGGTAGTGGAAGCATAAAGAAAGAAGAGTCCAGAACCTATCTAAAGCAGCCTTTTCCTGCCTTCTCCTGGTCTTCCCTGAGATCAGGGAGGGAGGGGGAGAGGGGTCCCCACAGCCAATCACAGCCATGCATTTGTAAATTGCAAATGCATGTGCACCCTTGCAAGACTGGTGTTGCTGCTGGGCTATTGTGTGGTGGATGCTGCTGGCCTCTAGCTTCAGGCCAACAACATCTTTCTTTACTTACAACAACATCTTTCTTTACTGTGTGCAAATTTGTCACTGTATCTTTTTGTCTACTTCTTGAAGGTAGATTTCCAGGGGGGCACTGAGTAATTTCCCCCCCCGAAAAGGGGGTGGTAGACCAAATAAGTTTGGGAACCTCTGCTCTATAAAGTAAAACAATAGTAGCTTGTATTGATGATGTGACCAAGTTTGGGGCCGTCCCTTCATTTTACATGAACATTGATGGAGGAACGATTGTTTTCAGTGGTTTCAGTTAGAAGAGAGAACCTTCATAGATACATTCCTACCCATGCCTATAGGAGCTCTTCAGCCTGCCAGGACAGAAAGGAGAGAATTTATCCTTCTTTAAGAGAGGATGATGTAGTGCAGGCTGGATTTGCTGAGCTGATGGGCCCTCTGGTTTGCAGGTTAAATTTATTTATTTACTTACTTTGTTCTTTAGTAAAACGCAAAAGACTTGTGCGATCAAAAAAACGGAAGAAAAAACAGAGGACCTATCACTCTACATTTTATCCTGTCCTCTCTCTATAGAGCCCAGAACCAAATTTCTCACAGAGCTTTTAATGGGCTTAAAATTTTCTTCAGATTCAGAGAAACTGTTTTTTTCTTCTCTCTGAGGCTGATCTGTTTGTCCCTTTGATCCTTCGCTTCAGCAGCCAAGAAAATACGGGCAAGAACTGCATCTAAAGAGGGCAATGCTTTTATTTGATTAGTATTTTTTGATTAGTTTTGTTCTGTGTGTCAGATCGTAACGGCCTTTGGCGACAGATAATAAATTTTATTGTATCTTGCTTATTTTATTCATAGCCTGCCTGTCTCACCTAGATTCAAAGCAGATTTATGCAGCGTAAACCAATGCCGTCAAATAACATGAGGCGTCTAATAAACAGTGCAATAGGACTGGGATTTTTAAAAAATTAGAAACAGTGCAAAACATGATACGTCAAACAGTGCAGGAGATGGAATTGCAAAAGTAGAGAACTATGTAGTAAGAGCAGGATAGTACAACGAACAGATAATGCATACCATACACAGTAGCACGGAGTACAGTCCTGTTCCCTATATAAAACTGCCTTCCTGCACCATTCCATTATAATACCTTTATAAAAATTCCCTCATGAAGAATTCTGTTTTACGCAGTGTGCAGGTGGGGCGTGAATTCTAGTGTGAGGATTCGGTATACCAATGGGGTGTAGTGGTTAAATAGTAGGACTAGGATATGGGAAATCCAGGTTCAGATCCCCACTTTGCCATGGATGCTCGCTGGGTGACCTTGGGCCAGTCGCACTCTCTTAGCCTAACCTACCTCACAGGGTTGTTGTGAGGATAAGATGGAGGAGAGGAGAAGGATGTTAAGCTGCTTTGGGCCCCAACTGGGGAGAAAAGCAAGATATAAGTAAAGTAAATAAATAATATCTGGGATCGCAAAGAAAGCTCTCTGCACGTACGCCAAGTGATTCTGCCCATGTACAGGATGGGGGACCTGTGGAAAGGTTTATTGCAGAGGACAAAGGGTTTCACAAATGGTACCGATACTAACGAATGATACTAAAAAATAAGGTCAGTGGACCTGAATAGCGGACCTGACTCTCAAAGCTCCAGTGATATGGACATGTCTGTAGACCTTTTCTGCTTGAAAGCCATCTTTGTTTAAGGCTAGTCTTGGTTGCAAAGGAAGGGCCCTGTGTAACAGGTCTGAGCTTGTAGATGTTGTATCATTTTGCTCTGTAATCGGTATCTTCCACGCACATAAATATCCCATTAAAAATATGTTAATAGTATGTCCTCCTGCTTTTCCAAGCAATGGAAGGTCTGGGAATGGAAAAGTACCGGGCGACTTGCCTTAGGGTGTCACTATAATATCTATTTATTTACAAATATACAAGCGCTGCATACCGAAAATCAGACTCCTACTGGGCAATATGTCCGATAATACAGCATCCTGTAGCCCAGAGTTTGGAGACAGAATGATATAAGGTTGCTTCATTTATAGCCAACTCCAGGGTGAAATTCCTCTCTCTCTCTCTCGGCAGGTATCAGAAAGCTCTCTGCACGTACGCCAAGTGAGAATTCTGCCCATGTACAGGATGGGGAGCCTGTGGAAAGGTTTAATGCAGAGGACAAAGGGTTTCACAAATGGTACCGATACTAACGAATGATACTAAAAAATAAGGTCAGTGGACCTGAATAGCGGACCTGACTCTCAAAGCTCCAGTGATATGGACATGTCTGTAGACCTTTTTTGCTTGAAAGCCGTCTTTGTTTAAGGCTAGTCTTGGTTGCAAAGGAAGGGCCCTGTGTAACAGCTCTGAGCTTGTAGATGTTGTATCATTTTGCTCTGTAATCGGTATCTTCCACGCACATAAATATCCCATTAAAAATATGTTAATAGTATGTCCTCCTGCTTTTCCAAGCAATGGAAGCAATCTGGGGATGGGAAAGTACTGGAGACTTGCCTTAGGGTGTCACTGTAATATCTATTTATTTACAAATGTACAAGCGCTGCATACCGGAAGTCAGACTCCTGCTGGGCAATATGTCCGATAATACAGCATCCTGTAGCCCAGAGTTTGGAGACAGAATGATATAAGGTTGCTTCATTTATAGCCAACTCCAGGGTGAAATTCCTCTCTCTCTCTCTCTCTCTCTTGGCAGGTATCTCCTCTGTCCTCAGACTCTGGTGGGGTGGGGGAGGGAAGCAGTGCTACAAAGCACCATGAAGCTTCTTTGGTTAAACTCCTGATCAGGCATCGGTCACTAGATCAGGACCTTAACCAAAGAAGCCCCGTGATACTAAATAGCACGGATCCCTCTGCCGTTCCACCAGAGTCTGAGGATGGACCATTTGCGGCCACTGGATGCTAGATGGGTAAAATCCCAGGAGGTCCTATTCACGAGAAACGAGACATGACAAATTCATGACACCGGCATGTCACAGGGATAGGAAACATGCCTAAAGTAGTCTCAGAGGGTAGCCATGAGAAGGGAGCACTCACTGGAGAAGACCCTGATGCTGGGAAAGATTGAAGGTCAAAGAAGACGGGGACGGCAAAGGATGAGATGGTTAGACAGTGTCATAGATGCAACGGACATGAAATTGAGCAAACTTCAGAGGACGGCGGAAGACAGGAGGGCCTGGCGGGAGCTGGTCCATGGGGTTGCAAAGAGTCGGACTCAACTGTGCAACTGAACAACAACAAAGAGTTTCCCAGTGTAAGCTCTCAATAGTCAAAGTTCCCTTGGTCAGACACAAGTAGAAATGGAGATCTCCGAGTCTTTTGATCCCAGCCAGAAGGTGGGGTGGGGTGTTTACAAGGATGCTCGTAAAGGTCACAAAGGTACCATGCATGGAGTGCCTTATTTTCTAATTTTCTTCTCCCAGATATTTCCTCCCTGTTCTAATCAAGCTAATGACGATATGCATGGTACCTTTGCATCCTTTGCGAGCATCCTTTACAACACCTCTCCCATTTCTACTTCTGTCTGATGAAGGGAGCTTTGTCGCTCGAAAGTGTATACCTTGAAGCTCTCGTTGGTCTCTAAGCTGCTGCTGGACTCAGATCTAAATATGCCTAAAGTAGTTTGTCTTTAGTACAGCGTGTCCGACTGTGCTATATGTTTCATATCAGACATTCTGTTTAACTGCGTTCCCCTTCCACAAAAAGTAATTTTTTGTTTGTTTATCAAGATGGACACTGGGACATGAAAAGTTTTTAGATAACTGGATATTTTTGTCAGCCTCTCTTTTTTTGCTCTTCTGTCCAAAATGTGTGGGATAGAAAAGTCTAAGAGCCAGTGTGGCATAGTGGTTAAGAGTGGAGGACTCTAATCTGGAGAACTGGGTTTGATTCCCCACTCCTCCTCCACATGAGGCCTGCTGGGTGGCCTTGGGCCAGTCACAGTTCTCTCAGAGCTCTCTCAGCCCCACCTACCTCACAGGGTGTCTGTTGTGGGGAGAGGAAGGGAAGGTGATTGTAAGCTGTTCCTTCAGGTAGTGAAGAGCAGGGTATAAAAACCAACTCTCCTCCTCCTCCAGTAACCATGTGCCCCAGTTGATTTCCCACTGCTAGGGAGAGACAGAAACCCCCACTGCTAGGGAGCAGACTGTTCCAGCCCATCCTTTCTTCCCCCATCAGCAGAGAAAACGAGGTGATTAGTTAATTAGTGCAGCCTACATAGCCACATCCAGAAGAATAAACCCAAACAGACGTTGAAGCATTCCAACAGATAAAGATTATATTCGTTGTCATGCAACATGGAGAAAAGGAAATGCATTTTAATCATGATTTTTTTTTCATGTTTGACTGACAGGTTATTCAGTAGCTGTGGGAGATTTCAATGGTGACGGCATAGACGGTACGACTCGTTGATATTTGTATGGAATGTGCAGGCACAGCAAATTCTTGTTCACAGGCAGTAGATTTTAAAGAACTGTGTAATCAAGAATGCCAACGGTAGAATCCAGTATGCAGTGTTACATATGCTTGTTCCCATTCATTTCAGTGGATCTGAGTGTTTCAAGCGAGTGAAGGATTGTAGTCTTAGCATGGGGCCACACAGTTTAACTTGTTCTAACAGTACTTTTGTAGTGAAATGGCTTGGTTTAGTGGTTAAGTGTGCGGACTCTAATCTGGGAGAACTGGGTTTGATCCCCCACTCCACTTGCAGCTGCTGGATGACCTTGGGCAAGCCAAAGTTATGTCAGAGCTGTCCTTAAAAAGGCAGTTTCTGTCAGAGTTCTCTCAGCCCCACCCACCTCACAGGGTGTCTGTTGTGGGGAGGGGAAGGGAAAGGAGTTTGTAAGCCACTCTGAGACTCCAAGTGAAGGGCGAGGTATAAATCCGATTTCTTCTTCTTTTTATGCCTGTGGGGGAAAATTAAAATTACCAACTGAAAAAAGAAAGAGTACTAGGTAAAAAATTCCCCCATCGGATGAATTAGTTTTAAAGAAAACATGTTTGCATAGAAGTAAAGTCACACTGAGTTTAATGAGATGTATTTCCTGGTAGGTATGGTTTGGATTTCAGGTTTAGGTGATGTTCTTCCATAATGGGTATCATGGCTACATTAATTCCTGATATTTTGATGCAGCTTTAAATATATATACTAGATTCTTATGAGACCCCGGTGATATACTAGCGGCTTCCCGTGATAGCACTGTCAGACCTCCCTCTAGGGAAGATGTGGAATGGGAAATCCCATGTGAGCCTGCATGGGAGGCTATGGCTCAGTGGTAGATCATCTGCTTTTATCATCTGCATTAGGTAATTTGAATTGCTTGAGCCAGGCATTTTGCCTACATACAGAGAATATTTATAGCTAAGGTACTGGGCCAGTGTATCCAATTCCACTCTCCCTTTAAGTGCATCGGCCCCATACATCAACATGTCATGCATACAGGGCACGAAGCTTAAACTGATCCTGGCTCAAACCTATAAAATAAATGAAAGGGATTATACTGTGTGCCTGGTTGAACTTCTTTCATAAAACTTTCCCTGAGTCACCAAAATGTGCCTTCCTTTTCTTGCTTGCTTGTTCCCCCACTGACAAAATTCTCCCTTATACATATTGAATACTGACTGCCAGTGTTTCACCTCTTCCACCAACCCTGTATTCTGTGTGTCTTGCAAATAATAAAGTCTGGTTGGGAAAGGTGGGGTTCTTGTAGAGCATCTAATTCACTATTACAGCTAGGTAAGGCTTTTCAAGTCCTTGCAGCTGATTCGTGGGGTAAATCCCCCTAAAGTCGATGGAATACATGCCATGAGTGACAAATGGCAATATTGCTCCCTGAATTGCCGAGCTGTTTGAAGGGGCTTTGTTTCTCCCACACAGATCACGGAAGAATGCCTCTTCTCTTTGATTTTCAGATTTCGTCTCCGGTGTCCCACGAGCAGCGAGAACGTTGGGCTTGGTAGGAAATTTAAATAAGACGTACAAAACAGTAAATTCGTACCAGCAGCCACTAGCATAATATAATTCCCCATTTCCGTCTCTTGTACAGGTGTCCATTTACGATGGGAGAACCATGGCGTCTTTGTATAATTTTACCGGAGAACAGGTATGGTTTTCTCCGTATCAGAAGACAGTGTTGTGATGTGCGCTTCTGTCTTTGACCAATGGAAAAAATATAGGATTTATGACCTAAAAAAAATAATCTGGAACAGATCGGGAGAGGATGGAGAAGTGGATTTAGGTTTTTCCGGATCAGGACCTCACCAATTTGGACTGGAGAGGTGCATCATTGTTATTTGGCCAAATACATCTGAAGTCGCTGGATTTGTTTTGATGTCAGAGTCGTTCTACGGCAGAGGTCCCCAGTCTTTCTGATCCTATGGGCACGTTTGGGATTCTGACGGAGGGTGGTGGGCACAACCATAAAATGGCTTCCACAGGAGGCGGAGACACACACAGAGGAAGCCCACGTGCAGGGAGAAGAGGGGTGATGAAAAAATACGCTGGGAAATAGCCGTGAGAGAAAATAATACAAACAGTGTGGTTGCAAGTGCCACAGAAAGATTGTTATTTGAATCCGCATGGCTAATCAGATCTTGGGCGGCAAATCAAAAACCCTTCCGGGCAAGGGACTCACCAACACACTTTCTAAAAACACCTGGTGGGCAGCACCTGTATGCCCCCAGAAGAGCGTTACGCTCAAGAACTTCCTGGTGGTCCCTGACCCGAGAGACGTCCGGCTGTCCTCGACCAGGGCCGGGGTTTTTTCAGCCCTGTCCCCTGCGTGGTGGAACGCTCTGCCGGAAGACATCCATGTCCTG